TCAGCAAATATCTTCGCTTCGAGATCATTGTTGTTGGAGTACGAGGCATCCATCCGTACCCAACACAGGATAGACAACATTCTAGAATATAGTGGCAGACCTACAGAGAAAGGCTACCAGGAAATTCTGGACACATTTGAGGAAATTTACCCCCGCTGGCAGACGCTTGTTCAAGAAGAGCAGCAAAAAGAAGATAGCGTCTATCACAGCGGGGAGGGTTCATATCTACGTCGGTTATCTCCAGCTTGGGTGTACACACGTATTATCCACAAGGCGCTCGACGTGCTCAGGCGCCGGAAAGAACACAAGCGCGAACACGAGATTGTAACCGAACTGTTGCGCCAGCGCCTTTTCCATCACTCGCGGAGAGGTGCATGGTATCAACGCAAAGCGCTTCTCGAGGAGCACTACATGGCAGCGCTCACCGACCCGGGAAAGAGGAGCGTAGACAAGCAAAAGAGGCACTGGAAGCAGATTGCACTGCAGACGTGTGAAGATGGCTTACAGGACAATCTCGTACATCTCATCCACCACTATGACCTCCAAAAGCGTATCACAAAACTCGAAATGTCTCTCAACTTTGCCAAACGACTTCAGCATGACTTTTCCCATGTGCGTTTGGCAAAGCCCGTCGAGGTTACCATGGAGGGAACCCGCATAGAGCGTGAAACCTCTGTGTCGTCAAGACGAAGCAACTCTCCGCACCTTAACTCTGGCAGGCGCGGCGGGAAGACCATATGGATTGACCCACGAGAGGACGGCGAGTGCTCAGTCGAAGCAATGTGTCTATCGCACTACCGCAACCAGGGCTGGAAAGGGTTCCACAGTGAAGGCGGCATCATACGCACCCTCTTTGCCTACCTCTTCTATGATGTCATCTTTACATATGTCCCTAATGTCTTCCAGACGCCATACCAGACCTGTCCGTTGGACTTGCACACTGACGCCTTCTACCCCTCGCGTATTTCGGAGATCAATTCCCGGCTGAATGAGGTTTCAAACGGTAGCGCGCCAGGTATCATCCAGAGAATCTATAACGACCACCATGAACGGCGTACTTGTGTTGTCGGGCTCGATTGGACGTATGACGTGAAAGATCTTGTAGAGATTGCGCAATGCTTTGATGGCGAAGCGCTGGCCACCATATGTAAAGTCATGGCTCAAGAATATGGGCAGAGGGGTGGCGGCGTCCCAGATCTTTTTCTCTGGAGAGTCGAGCAAGGGGAGCAAGAAGCGATCAAAGGCGAAGTCAAGTTTGCAGAGGTAAAGAGTGAGAACGATCGGTTGAGTGATACGCAGAGGCTTTGGATACATGTGCTTTCTGGTGCGGGCGTGAGGGTTGAACTTTGTGCGGCGGTGGCGAAAGAGGTCAAGGTCGTGTGAGATGACATACACCGATGAGCAGACAATTGCTCAAGCGACATAGGACTCGTTGCCTTTCTTTGGCTCTGTCTGTAATCGGCTTCAGCATGCTGAACCTCAATACAACGTACAAAATCTCTAAGACGTGGATTTTGTATAATAGATTCATTGGCTAACTACGATTACACAGAGGGAGGCATGTTTATTCGAAGTTTTGGCGGCTTGGGGGGCACAGGGTCATCGAAAGTAGGCATGTCAATGCTGACCCAGGCATGGAACCACAGCGGGAAAAAAATCATGAACAAACTCCCTTGCCGTTTTCCTTGCTCTCGCATCTGGCTGACTCAACAAGTATGCAAGCTGATCGTATGAAAGCCAATTGTGTGCATGTGTGCACTTATCGTCCCTGCACGTTTTACCCATGAACATGTCTTTACAAAGTCCCAGGCTGCATAAGTTTGTAGCGCCATACCTCCAAGGGAAAAAACATCCAGAGGCATCGTCGTCCCAAGCACTGCCAAATCCGTATGGCATCAAGGGGGGCTCGGCGTCGTCATACTCCATTGCGAGGAGCCCCTTCACCTCGTCCTGCATACGCTTGCAGATCTCTGACGGTGTCTCTGACTTAAGGACCATGTGCCTCGTTGTGGCGACCTGCTTGCCATGACCTTGTTCGGATGTGGTGACGGCAACAGCCGTTTGGGTTTGCGGCGAGGATGGCGTAGCCTCAAAAGCCTCTTTTGCTATTTGGGCAACTCTTTCCACATCCATTTCTTTGAAGATAGAAAGAATTTTGTTCTTGTCGAGTTGGTGATTCGAGTAGTCGTCTGCTGCGCGAGTGGAGGGCAGCGTCTCAGCTCTGCTCTGCAGGGGCCCCAGCCTCACGGGAGAAGGAGCGATCCTCATGGGCGTGAGTGTGTGAGTTGCGACCCAATATTGGGAATATCCTTCTTGATGTTAGACCATGTTATTTGGTAAATACAAGAGAAGACTCACCTTGTTGTGAGTAGCACCACCTATTCGGCGGAGACCAGTTGGCCGAAGGCACGTCCCAATACTGGGGATTTTCTGAGGGGAATTAGTCACTAGCGCTTTACGAACATAGAGGAAGATCTACCTTGTGGTCGATAAGACTGAGGTAGATGACCAATCTTGTTCAATTTCTGCTTATGATGACTGACAGCTAGCCCAACAACTCCATTTTCCTATGCTCTGTGAAAAACATCTTAGTCTCAAATCTTTACAGCTTTGCAGGTTTTTCAAATGCAAACAGTGCCCGTCCTTTCTTCGCCGGATCTTGCCACACCCACCCACTCTTGCCCACAATCTCTCCGGTACCACTGGCCATTTGTCTGAGTGTATTCTCATCGCCGTGGTTCGCCAAGAAACGTTTGTTATTGCTCTTCAACCTCCCCACGACATATCCCCTCAGTGGACTCCCGTCACGACCAAACTCAGCAGTGTATGTTTCCACAACTGCCTCTCCTTGGGCATCCACCGCAATTTCTGGAACAGGAACATCCGTGATCGTCTCCGGCAGCGGGCTTTCCGTTGGATACTGACCATCTTCCCGAGGATTCTTTCCAAGGATGACAACGTACTGATAGCTCAGCACACCTCCATTACACAGTACCATTGCCTTTTTACCCTTTCCATCTCTCAGCTGCCTCGTGATTTCTGTAAATGCATGCATCGAATAATTGTTTCCCGCTCCACCAAACGACGTCAACCCACCCAGCACAGTCAGTGGCTTTTTGCCTCCTGTAAGCGGCAGTCCAAGATGCTGGGCTGCGATCTTGGGTACAATCGGGAAACAAGAGTATATATCGAAAAGATCAATGTCTTCTTTTGCTGTATCTGAAACGCGTAGACTGGCGTCGATGGAGCGTGAGATGCTTGGTGATGAGTAGAAATTGGGCCGTTGCCAGAACTCATCTGCGTCGCGGGTTCCCGCACCACCTAGGGGGTATATCCATTTTGAGGAGGGTACACCGAGACGGGCAGCATGGGAGGTGGAAGTGACGAGAACAGCAGCGGCGAGGTTTACGGTGTTGAAGGCATTCATCAGTAAGGGATCTGTAGGAATCAGCAACTCATGAAATAGGAATCGTACGCACAGCAACTCTTAGTGTTGTTGCCGTAGTGCCCTGTCACGAGGAAAGAGCGGGCGACGGAGGAGCGAGTTAGGAAGGAATAGAGGACGTACAAGGATAACAAATCATTCTGTTCTTTCCCCCAACTCTTGCAATCTCCTCTTCGCTCGTTCTTTTGCCGTATCCCCATGCTACCTCGTTCTTTTCTGCTACACGAGCAAACTCGGCATACAGCTTCGCACTCTCCTCGTGATTCGCCTGGAGCGACTGACCACGATGAGCACGGAACCCGTTTTCATACAAAGGGTAAACGTGTATCGGAGCACCAATCTTATGTATCGCGCCGAGATCTTGCAATCTGTCAGCAGGAGAGAAGGAGTGTTAGACGGAGAGAGAAATTACTGTTTCCTAGGTCTCGACCGGTAGGCGTGAAGACTGAATCTACGGCTGAAGAAGGAGGCGTCCAGCCCGGCGGAGGCAGTTTCTTGGCTGCTGCACATGCAGATACTAATGAGAGCAAGAAAAGCGTTGTCAGTGAGTTTCTCCAGACTGTCCTCTCACCATATGTACCGAGAAAATTAAGATGCACGGATGGAAGAGAGAGTGCAAAATGCTACGCACAGGAAGCTAACGCCTCTCCTCCCGTCACAACAGCAACCTCACACTCGCCTTTCGCAATCCTCCTCGCGGCCTCATCTATACATTTTCCGGGCTTATCGCCTCCATGCTCGGAATATCGTTTCCATTTCAGACCCGCTTGCACGCCTAGCTTCGCTGCTAATAGACCTGGTAAATCCGGATATGGCCACGTCCATGTTTTGACTACATCGACACTATCGATTGCTGCCTGCAGATCCGAGACAGAATTGGGACTCGCGTCGGAGATGGCAGCCTGTATAGCTTCGAGCATCAATATTGCGGGTTCCTTGGCATCGGACACGGCTGTAGAGCGATTCTTGATGTCGCCTACGCCAATGATAACGGGGGTATTGTGTGGCACCATTGTGGCATATGAAAATGGCTGCGAGTACAAATTTGAGGTTACACTTGTGCAAAAGAAAAATTAATAAATTAAGCTGCTTTGTTCTTCTCGCGAACTGGCTGTATTTAACGGCGATATTGGACTTGTGTCTATGATGACTGTGAGGAGTAGTGATAGGTTGCCGAGGTAATCCGGGGTGACGTTGAATGCTCGTGCGTGTCAGGATGTAGAGAACCTTAAAACAACAACACCACCACCACCACCAGCGATTAGTAACGAGATGGCCCATGGCCAGAAAGCTCACACTAATCTTGGTTTCCATGAAAAAACTACCTGGTAGTAAACAAGACCTGATTTCGGGGTAGATCAATCCGTTCACGCCACAAGAGAGAAAAAAACACAAATGTTGGTAGAGCAAAAAGCCTGGTAAAACGATCACCAAACAAACCCCAGAAAGCAAAAAGGTATACGTTCTGATAGCCATAGCAGACTTGACAGAATTGTCCCAATCAGAACGTCACCAGTCACAAAAAAGAGCAAAAAAAGAGCAAAAAAAAGAGAATTTCCGACACCGGGAATCGAACCCGGGCCTTGCCGGCGCCAATGGAAGCGTACTGACTCTTGATGAGAGCGGCAAATCCTAGCCACTAGACCATATCGGATTTTGATGGAAGGATTGAAAATTAGTTAAAAAAGATTCTAGGAAGATTTGCAGATAATAGAGCATCGAGCTAATGAATCTAGTCCAGAACTATTCGTTGTCGACATGTCCCACAGACAGGCAGGGCAAACACATGGACAAGATCACTGTTATTTTCCCTATCTTACAACATGGAAGCGTAGACGTGAGATGAGAACTACAGAGAGAAAAATCCGCGATAGTTCTCCGCACCATGAGCAAAAAGAAAAGAACGAAACCCATGCTTTAGCCCAGCCTGGTTCAAGACAAGACTGAATCGAAGGGACAACATAGCAATTCCCCCCTTTGTTCCAAAAACAACGCTTGCTTTGCCTTTTCATGTCTCTTCCTTTCTTTCTCTCTCAGGTCCAATAAAACAGCATCGTCCTCATCTCAGAGTACAGTAGCAAACGGGCTTGTCATCAGCAGCCACCCCCGCCCCCCCACTCACCAAACAACGAAATGCTCTGGAAAAATTAACAAGGAAAAAAAGAAGAAAAGAAAAAAACGAGAAAATTGTGCCCAGAGAAACACCGACCATGGTTTTCAAAAAAAAAAAGAGAGAAAGAGCTACTAAGATTACAAAACGCTTATAGACTCTGTCCAGCATGCAGAAGATTTTCTCATATTGCACACACACAGAGAGAGAGAGACTTCTTCAACGCTCAAAAGGTGGTCCCGACATGCCGAAAACATAGCTGCAATCCGAATTTGTGTGTCCAAAAGGGTTGTGCTGTACATTGCAGCATAAAAGGACGCGTGTTTGCGACGACAATTAAAAAAAAAGAATCAGTCGTTTTCCTTAAAACTTAAATGTACTCTTTTTGCGCCCTATGCTGAAACGGTTCTTGCCGGCCGTATCGGTATCTGTTGTGGGGGTGTCAGGGAGAGGAGGCTCGTCGGAATGGCCATCCTTGTCCTTGTGCCCAGACCAGAATTTCGGCTTGGTCCTGAGGCTCATGGACGTATGTCTGAAGCGACTCAATCCACTCATACCCTTGACGCTACCGAAGCCATTTGCATGCTTGTCCTTTTCAAGATTCGGGGTTGGGGGTGACGCTAGAGGTGGCTGTGCCTCACCGCTGGCAATGCGTTTCTTCTCCTCTTCTGCAGCAGACGCTTTGCTAGCTTCCAAGACAGCCTTGAGCTCTTCTTCTTGCTTGCGATAGTTTTCCCGCCTCTGCATTTCCATCTCCTTGCGCTTTTGCTTTGCTTGCTTCTCAAGCTCCTTCTCTTGCGCTTTGCGCTCCTTGTCTTCCTTGCCTTTCCCAAAAAGACCAAGGTTGCTCTTGCGCGGAGCCAGAGTGGGGATATGAGATGTGGTGTGTTCAACCGGGGGAGTGTCGGTACTCGCCTCGACGTGGGCGAGGGGCGGTGCGGTGGCCGCATGCGCAAGACTGGCAAACTTGTCGGCTTCTTCGACCGAAGGCGTTGTTGCATTGTGAAAGGCATGGAATGGCGTTCCGTTTGTGCCGTTTGTGCCGTTATGCTTTGGCGTGGTGACCTCTTCTTGGGCCATCTTGGCGGCCTGCTCTGCTGCAGCCAGTGCGTCGGCTTCCTGCTCCTTCATCATGGCTTCCTCTGTTGTTTCTTGGTAGAACAAAACATATGCGCACGCCAAGACGTTTTCTCCACCAAAAAAGTTCCTGACGTATGCCTTGTCTACCGGCTCAACCATCTCGTCGTCGAACAGTAGCCAGCCGCGGTCTTGTGTTTTGATAATGGACACATAGTGGCCGTGATATGGTCCACCTCCAATGTGCACGACGACTGCATATAGTTCGTATAGCCTGTCTGGGTCTTCGGCGTCATCCGTGGTGTTGAACAAACGAAGGTAGAAGGGGTAGACGACGCGATGAAACAGCTTCTGTAACCGCTGCAGGTCCTCGGTATACTTGAAGCGCTTCAGGTGCAGGGCAAGAATCTTGGGCAACCGCTTAATCTTCATGCGCTTCTCTGCCTCTTGTAGACCTCCGCAGTTGTCGCAGTGGAACTTGTTCCGCTCGCACAACATCTCTTCCTCGGAAAACTTGCGTAAACAGCTAGTTACCGACGAGTGCTGCTCGAGGTCGACAGAGAGATCCAGGAATGCCTCGTCTCGTTGTGATGTGTTTTCGCACGTGAGACACCGTGTCTCAGACGTCAAGGTACCCTCGAACAGCTCGTGCACCCATCCGGAATTGGGTTTTGCAGCCGCCACCGAGTTTTGAGCTGGCACTACCTCGCCGGACGCGGTTGCTGATCCGTTCTCTTCTATGGCGTTGGCTTCGGCCGCACGGGATTTTGAAAATTGTTCGACATTCTCTACAACCTCGTTCAGTAGCAAGTTGAGAAACTCGTGTGCATCTTGGTGCATCGGGGTCCGAAACATCTCATTGTCTCTGCGTAGAATTTCGAGCAGCTTGTGCGGGCTGACTACGCCTATACGTGACCTGTGTGCTATGACGGCCTCGAATATGTCTTTTAGCGACGAAAACAGCGATTCGTTCATGCCGTACGAGTTTGCATTCTCGTAGTCCATCTGTAGCACCGGACCGGCCGCCAAGGCCTGCTTCTTCTTGTACTCGGGCGAGTCCTTGTTATCCTCGGGCTTGGTGCCTGGAGGCTGGTTAGGCGCCCCTGGCGTGGTGGCGGGTTTTGCGGGCGTTCTTGAATTGGGACTCGAGATGGAATTGCGCCCCGGCGGCGAGAGGGCTGTGCTTTGGCCATTGGCGAGATTGGTGTTGAGCCTGGGCAGGCTCGATGAGGGCCGCTCGAGGGCTTCTGGAGGCGAACGGGCGGGGAAGTTGATGACCTGTTCTCGAAAGGGGACTGAGTAGTATAGGCATTGGACTATCGAGTTGCAGTAGCTGGCGGTAGAGTAAGTACTGGCTGGAAGAGCGGGGCGCAAATGGGGAGTGAGGAGCATGCATACCAGGTGCTTCCAAACTAGAAGAGGGAATCGTTAGCAGGCGGAGGCTAGAGGCGCATTCATTCGCCGGGCAAGGCGACTCACATTCTCGAAGCCAAAGAACTTGTCGCTGCCGTCGGCACGCACAGGGCCGGCGTTGACGAGCAGTTTCTCGAGCGGCGTGGGTTCGGGCGCGTTGATGTCCTTCTTCACAGGCGTGCTCCCGGTCGCCGGGGTCAAGGGAGGCTGGGAGCGGCATCAGTACCAGGCATTGGCGACAGGCGCGTTGACAGGCGGGGACGACTTACAGCGCCAGACTTGATGCGACTGAAAAAGGAAGTCATGGCTCGGCAGGGTTGCAGTGGGGTGGGGAGGTGCAGGAGGCTTCTCTACCAGGCGTGCGAGGCGGCTTCTGGGAGCAGCGGGTTTGGAGGCGCGGCGTCGAGGGTGGAGAGCGGCGACGGGTGGGTGTATGGGCCCAGGATGTGCGAACAGGCGGAGGGCAACATGGAGAAGAAGCGGAACAGGGAGCAGGCGAGGCGTGAAGGATGCAGTTCACCGCGCGGCTTGGAAAGGCTGGCAGGGCGGCAGGGCGGCAGGGCAGGCAGGGCAGGCAGAGCCGGAGCCGAGGGCAAGGGCGAGGCTAGAGAAGTGGCAGGCTACTAGAAGCGCGCCGTGCAGCAGAGAAAGCCCGGCCGTTCCCCACGACCGGGCACTCGATCGACCCCGCCACAAGGACACGGGACGGGGCTAACGCTGCTGCCACCGGTTCTCTCCAGCATCCCGAGCCTGCGACTTGCCCGTCCTCGACCGCGGGGCCTGTATACGCATGCATGCACACTCCATGTGTGCTGCTGTGTAGCACGTCGAGTATGCGTCTACACATGCGTGCGTGGATAGAGCCCTCGACCGCTCGCGATACCACGGCTGCCGGCCTAGGCTGCCCGCCCCCGGGACACTCTCAGTGCGTGCCTAAAGTCCCACCAGTCAGGCGCGGCGGCTGTTGCTGCTGGAGCACGACGGCAAGTAGGCGTCGTGGCGCTTGTGGGCGGCTGTCGCGAGATCGCCATTGGAGACAACGGCCATGCGTCTAGCGTCTTCCCGCACGCTGGGCACGACCAGGGCTCCGGTGGCCTTTTTTTGTTTTGGCAGTTGACGTCAGGACGAGTCCGATATAGTGCTCGCAACATGCAGGTGTCCGTGGGCACATGGCGCGTCACGTGCCGTGACCAACACGCATCGCCTTCACATGGACACAAACAGCAGCTGCCAGGCGGGCGCCGCCCTCCCCAACATGTCCCGCATCTTGTCCCATGCGCATGCACTGCCCGACTGTGGCGTACGACGCCCATCACAAGTGGCCTGGCAAGTGACGGCCATGTCGCGTCGCGGCCTTTGCCTAAAAATAGCCCTCTGTGAGGTCCAGTATCAATTACCATCCCGCCTGCCCAACCACAACAACACGGACACGGGTCTATCGACAAACGCCTGCACATGCAAACGGCGCTCCTCTACACTTACACAACACGCAAATGATACAACACGGAAAAAAAATAAACGTCTCCAACATCACACCCTGCGCAGTCGCTTCCCAGCCCCCAGCTCAATCGCTGTTCGGCTGTTGAGCATCGCCTCCTCATTGCCCCCTTCGGGCGGGTGCGCTTGAATATACTCCCGCCGTATGCGTGCTGCCTCCTTGTCCCAAGTAGCAACCCGCTCCTTGAACTCGACTGCGCTTGCCGTCGCATCCTCTCGCGCGTTGCTGGCCTGGTCCAGATATGGCTGCTTGACATGCTGCTCGGCCGTCCGCCATTTTAACCCCACTGCATTGCGAATCTCTTGCTTTGGTGCTTTGGCATCAGCATTCCCGCTCTTGGCCCGGTGTGCCTCGTCGCACTCTTGCTTGCAGATATACCAAAAGTCTTTCGTGAACAACAGAAATGGGTTGACGCCTGCCCGCCCGGGCTTGATTGGACGTTCGCCAATTTGCTCCAAAATGGCCCCAATAATGGCTGCTTCGTAGTCTTCGTCGCGCTGCACACGCCCACTCTTGTTCTCTCGCCCTGACCCCGCACCCGGCTCCAATCGCCGCTTCGACTCTGCAGTCGGAGTCGTCGAAAACTCGGCCTTGGTCGCTTTCTTCTCCACAAGCGGACTGGGTATCTCAATGGGCCCTAGTACCTTCTCGGCAACCTCCGCTGCCACTCGGAGGCCTGACAAGTACGCCCCGTGCACAGTCGCAGGATGTGTGCCGCACGTTGCTTCTCCAGCAAAATGCAGCGGGCCGTGTGGCCGCGCCATGACATCGTAGTCGCCAGTCTGTGTCTTTGGTCCCACATATGAGTAGCTGCCTCGAGCAAACGGATCCTTCTTCCACCGCGTCACAATCGCTTCCGATGGGAGTGGTACAGTGTTTGGCGCAAACATGGCGTCGAGCCGGTCCGTCACTTCTTTGACAAGCTGGTCGTCCGACGTCGCCTCGGCGTAGTGGGCAGCATCACCTGCCATGAGCGCTACTAGCACTGGCTTTCCGCTCGTCTTTAGGCAGTTCCAAAACAGATAGAACCGTCCTCGCTTCGAACAATACTCCTCTGGTCGCATGCTGCCCTCGCGCTCGGCCTCGTTGAGCAGTCCAAACATGTCTCGATCCGGTTCCCAAAAGGCCTTTTCGTACACGAGAATAATCTATTCATGTCGTGAGAAAGCGCACAGTTGACAAAATACACAGACCCACCTTGTTCAAAAGTCCAAACCCCATGCGTTCAATCACATCCTGCTTCCAGCTAGGAAGTGGAGGTTCGAACTTGATAGATCCTGATTTCAGTACCCCTAGGGGTGTAGTGAGGACAACATCATCGGCTTCAAATGTTTCGCCGTTGGTGCATTCGATTCTGACAGCCTTGCCAACTCGCTGTTCTTCCGTATTGTAGTGGACAGTCTTGATAGCCGTGCTGAACCGCACGTCCAGCTTGCTAGGACATTGCCACAGCCCGCGCGGAACCTGCTGATAACCCCCAATTACCTGACTATGCTCTCCTTCGAATTCATTTCCTATGTCCTGATCCCAGCCGCTCAAACTGAGCTGGTTCACACTCACAGCGTTTGCGTATTCGAGGTTGGCATGGTGCCAGCTGAGCAGGCGCATGTCTCTGGGTTTCAAATCGACAAGTGACTGATATTGTCGGAGTCCCTCATCCATTGTCTGACCTAATGTCGGGTATTCCGATGCCTTTGCAATCGTGTCCAGGTCCAATGTTTGGTCGTCCCTCGCACCATCCTTCAGTTTCCATCCCATGTCTTGTACCGTCTTTGCGGCTGTGACATCAGGGTCAAAGCCAGCGCTCAACTGGTATGCTCTTCCCGCCAGCTTTTCTATCCCAGTAGTTGGCTTCTCTTGCTTTGTCGATGCTGTGCTTATCGCGTCTGCTGGCAAAGGGGCCTCAGACTCTTCTAGCTCTGCAATGGTAGGCCCGCCAACATCAGCAGGCTCACGGCCAAACGCCATCAAGTTTCGATCACCCTCTACTGTCCTGTGGGCAGTAGGTTTGTTTCGAAAAGCTGCCGCTCGTTCGAGGACATCGTTGTACAGCTTCTCCACCAGTATGTCTTGACTTCTCTCGACAACCGTGCCATCATAATCGTAGAGTATTGTGTTGTCTCTTAGACCATGGTAAGGCAAGCCCAACTGGCCTCGAATTATTGCGTTCAACGGGTTGCCGTGTTCGAATCCTGTAACAATCTGAGCACCCATCTCAGCTGTGCAACGATTTCCGGGTGGGAGTGTAGAGCCGGATTGATTCAAAAAAGGATGTGAATACACTCGACCACCTACACGCGGACGGGCCTCAAGGATAATAATCTTCGGTGGACGCTCTCCCGCATCTGTTAGTTGATCTCCAAGTTGAGCAAAGATTCCTTCCAGGTGCCGAGCGCAACCTAGTCCCGACATTCCTGCACCAACTACAACGATTGTCCGTCTTGTTACCGTCTTTGTTTTGCATTTCGAGAGAGTGCCAGCATTATTCGGTACTTCAGCGCAGCCAAAGTTGATGTATCCGTGTCTCATAAGCCACAGATATGCTACCTTTGCCAGACCAAAGTAGCGCTTGTCACGGGCGCACCCTGCAGCTTCTTCGAGAGAGACGTATACCAAAGGGTTGCGATGCCACAAGCGCAGGATCGCGTTTCTTATGTTCAGATAAATCGTGACCTGAGCGTGAGTGACATGCTCGCGTAAAAGCTTGTACTCGGTGGGATGCAGAGAGAATGGATTGAGCCGGCTGTTCTCTGCTGCTAGAATGCACTGCCGGCCGAATTCAGGCCATGACACATCGGCAGGTATGCTAGAACTCGCCTTCATCTCAGCAGCCTTCCCTTTTACAGGGAGAGAATTTGTCCTGCGATGCTTCTTTGGCTGTTCGTGTGATCGTGGAAGCTCAGAAGTCGAAGATGCTTGTGATTCGCCACTCAGACTATGTGGTGTGCCCGCCATGAATGCGCCATCTCTCTGATGACTCTTTGATGATGAATGAGCTTTCGTGCCGTTTTCGTTGATAGAAGTATGTGAAGAGACGTGGTTTTGATGAGAGGGCTGTTTTCCCTGGGTACTAGTCATGCCGTTAACGGCCGAGTTTGGAGTAAATGGATGCTGCAGTGGCGAAGGAGTGTAGTTTGTCGTATATCCATTTGCCAATGTGCCTGGAGTAGATCCTTCCCCCTCGTGACTTGTGCTGGGTTCCGATGTATCAATCGAGTCGCCGTAGTGCACGGACGATGCACTCGATTCCCGGCCGTAGCCCAAGTTACTAAACCCAGGTATAGGTGCGACACCGCCTTTCAGATGTATACTATCATTGGACATTGGCAATGACAACAGATCATCTTGATTCTGATCGAAGAGGTACGAGCCGTCATCGAGCGCGGTAGGATCGGCTGTGGATGCGATGGAGAACATATTGATAAAGATTCGAGGAAAGACGGGGAGGCACCTGACAGGGAAGCCGCTACAGAGCCGCAATCAGCCGTTGGCCGCACAATCGCAGCGATAAGGTTGTAGCGGGTAGCGGGCGGCGTTGTATTCTGCAAAGCATGAGGGACCTTGTTGAACTTGTAGCGATGGTGGGAGGGTGCAGACAGGTGATGGACGGATGCCCAGACTTATGGAGGTCAAGGCACGAAAGAAGCGCACCATACCCACCTAGGCAAACTCGGTCGAAACCAACCCCGTCGTTTCTGACTTCAGCCTTCTCCAACTAGCTCAAACATTCCTCCACGCTCCGTCATCGCGACAACGGATCCGTGTGAAGATTCGGATGGTTGATGCACAGCTTGGCGTCAACAAAGTAACTGGTTGGCTGCAGCTGACCCCGCTCGTACGGAAGCGAACATTGCTACTACAGCACGTCGTGATATAAGCTTCAGCCAACCCCATCAACATTTTCGAAGCTTCCAACGGGAGCGCATTGGTGCACACGCTGTGCGCTTGATGAGTTTGGTCGCCTAGGTTGTTAACCGTGACCACCTTATGGAATGTAAGGATCTTGCACTTGGTCTTTTCGCGCATGGACGTTTACTAGACTCGTTCCTGTTCGGATGACGGCTGATGAACCTATGCAGAAACCAACTCTCCTTCGCAAGCCTGCCTCCGTATCAAACCTTACTGCATTCATAAAACGCCTAGAAGCCGAGTATTGCCACTCATCTTGTGTATACCAATCATTTCCGTTCGCCTTTCCAACCGGACCTCTTAACACATACCCATCTTCAAAGTAGAAAGGCATATAGGATATCCCTGATGACTGAGGAAAATATATGTTAGTCAGTACGATTAGTTCATCAGTTCCATCTTTGACATGGTGAGACGGTAATATAATGTGAGCTCATACAAGGTTATGGTGATAGGACCTCGGCTCTTGGAGCTCATCTGACAACGAGATTCGTCTTGTGTGACATATCTCTACTGCACATGGTATCAAGATACCAGGGCATCACAGAGTATCCAGTGACAGCCATGGATCCTTTGCACATGATCTATTTCAATCTTGCCATTTGAGCCTGTCGCCTTGCCATGTATTTAATCTTCACTATCATGTCGCTTTTTTTGGCTCGGTGATGAAGCCGCAAACCTAAACTAGTTCGTTTTTCCTAATTTCACAATCACATCGATTTCGCAAATAAACCATCCGATCTCTTGGTGGAACAAAATCACGTGCTCGACCACGCTAGTCAGCCCCCGTGGTTAACGCAGTATCGCTTCAGCCGACCCGTCGGCTTTCGTCGTCTGTTCAGACAAAACTTTCCCCGCGACCTCGCATTCAAGGAAGAAGAAAGATGCGATGGCCCTGGTCAGGCAACGATGATGACGACGAAAAGAAGAGCGGCCTTCCTTCACGGACCGCGCCAACAAAGTCGACCAGTTTTGCAGGGTCATGGACTGAACTGCGGACCCTGATTCCGTCTCTCGCGCTAACAGCATCAATGGTTACTGCGCTCCGTTTCTACAAGGCCTATCTACGACGAATACCAACAGTGAACCATATCAAACCAGACTACTTCCGTCGCAGAAGTCTATTTGGCCAAGTCACTAGCGTAGGGGACGCGGATAATTTCAGATTTTACCACACGCCTGGCGGGAGAATAGCTGGATGGGGATGGCTACCTTGGAAGAGGGTGCCTACTACAAAAGAGGGTTTGGCTCAGCAAACAGTGAGTCTCAACCAGGTCCCGAGTCCGAACTGCACTGTCCTGGGCTTACATGCCATCACATACATAACTAACTGGACCAATAGCTTCATATACGCATCGCTGGAGTGGACGCGCCTGAACTTGCGCACTGGGGCCGAGAGGCTCAGCCTTTTGCAAAGGAGGCCCAAGACTGGCTCATCGGCCTTATCCATCATCGCCGAGTACGCGTATACATATATAGGCGTGACCAGTACGACCGCGTGGTAGCCCAAGTTTATGTGCGCCGATGGTTCTTCAAGAAGGACGTGGGATTGGAGATGTTAAAGGCGGGATTGGCGACGATATATGAAGCCAAATCAGGCGCAGAGTTTGGAACTGCTGAAGACCAGTACCGCGCAGCAGAGAAGAAGGCTCGAGAGGATCAGGTTGGAATGTGGGGCAAGCCGAGTCTGAGGCAGCGACTGAGCGGTGTGCCGAAGAAAGCATTAGAGAGCCCGCGGGAGTACAAAGCGCGGCATGCAGCAGCCGACAAAGCAAAAAAGGCAGGGTGAGATGAGTCTACCGCGAGGAGAACGCGACATGTCCATGTACTAGACACGGGAGGAGATTGGCGCTGCGATCGAGGCAGTCTCACTCATGGCACTGGCTCGATGCTAGTGAGCAGTATTTCGCCGTGCTACGGGCCGAGGACTCCACAAAGCTTCTCAAGAAAACTTGGAGTCCATCGATGACTGTGCTATTGCAGTTGCAAAATCTGTCAATGTTGTTGGCTAGCTCCACGAGGCCGCCAGGAAATAGTTTAGGGTTGGTCGGGCAACGAATCATGCCAAATGCCCTGGGGGAAAAATACGACTACCCTTGAAGCGTGCCCGAGTCTCAAAGTAGTAATGCAATATCGATGCAGGTGCGCCAAGGCACACAAGCTAGCACCCGTGTGACTGTATTGAGAAAAGTTCTGCAAGACGATGTCAAAATTTCTGCTCATCGGCGCTGTGTGCTAGAAAATGGAGATCGATCTTCGGCGCCGTAATCGGTCCTCCACCTGGGGGGTTCTTGGTGACAAGACGGGACATTGGAGAGGCGGATAGGCTGGTAGCAGACTGGATCGTGCGTCTTGACTGAGTCACCATGTGTAGACGGGCGAACATTTGAATGCGCAATGTCAGCGTGGAATTGAAGCATTTCACAGCTCCCTCCTCATTGCGTAGTTGGTGATCGCCGACGGTCTTATCTGAGCGTTATCGGAGAGAGCCTGATTGGCCCGTTGCGCATCATTGGATTTTTTTGGCTGCCGCATCGCAGCTTTCCCCACAGATTGTTCATAAACCTTGAGGGAGTCATTTGTGCTCTGGCTCCGCTAGGGTCGAGCTATACTTCTTCAATTCCCCCCGCCGGCCACCGAGCGACTTTTTTCCAGCGCGTGCGTCGCCTTTCTTTGTTGCTCCCATCTTCAACGAGCTCACAGCCCTCAAGCCGCTTGCCCGCCTGCAAATGGCTCTCTGCGGGCGTCTAGCACGTCGCGTCCCTACCCTCACAGGTCAAACTCGCTCATTGGCATCTTCTGCATGCTCGCGAAACTTCACAACTCGCGCTGCTCGCCCTCTGACTTCTCTCCGCTCCAACAGTGAGTCACCTGCGGTTTACCGGCAACTGCGGGCATTCACAAAGGTCGCGTCAACATGGAATAAGACACAGACAGCGCCCAGCGCCGAGGCGTATCTCAAAAGCGGCGTCATTTCTGGCGCACAGGATCTTGTCGACGTAAAGAAAGTCCTGGTCATTGGCAGTGGTGGTCTCAGCATTGGCCAGGCCGGAGAGTTTGATTACTCAGGTGCGCAAACACCACTAGACACAATTACGCGAGAATGACCATATGCTCATTGGATTGCAGGTTCACAAGCGCTCAAGGCTCTGAGGGAAGCCGGTGTCAAATCCGTGCTGCTCAACCCTAATATTGCTACTATCCAAACATCCCACGTGCTCGCCGATGAAATCTACTACTTGCCTGTAACTCCCGAATACGCCGAATATGTCATCCAGAAGGAGAAGCCTGACGGAATCTTCCTCAGCTTTGGTGGCCAAACTGCATTGAACCTGGGTGTCCAGATGGATGCCAAGGGTATTTTTGAAAAATATGGTGTCAAGGTACTCGGTACTAGCGTCCAGACTCTCAAGACGAGCGAAGACCGTGATCTCTTCGCGCGCGCTTTGGAAGAAATCAACATTCCCATTGCCAAGTCAATTGCCGTCTCCTCAGTGGACGAGGCATTGGACGCTGCTGAAAAGGTCGGATATCCCATCATTGTTCGTGCTGCTTATGCACTGGGTGGTCTTGGTTCTGGTTTCGCAAACAACCCCGAAGAGCTGAAGAACCTGTCAGCTCGTTCGCTCACGCTGTCACCCCAAATCTTGGTCGAGAAGTCGCTCAAAGGCTGGAAGGAGGCCGAGTACGAGGTTGTGCGTGATGCAAGCGACAACTGCATTACAGTCTGCAACATGGAGAACTTTGATCCCCTTGGTGTCCACACGGGTGACAGTATCGTTGTATCGCCAAGTCAAACATTCAGCGACGAGGAATACCACATGCTCCGATCTGCGTCCATCAAGATTGTCCGACATTTGGGAGTTGTTGGAGAGTGCAACGTACAGTACTGCCTGCAGCCAGATGGTCTCGATTACCGTGTCATTGAAGTCAACGCTCGTCTGTCTCGTTCATCTGCACTGGCCTCCAAAGCAACTGGTTACCCTCTAGCTTACACTGCAGCCAAGATTGGTCTTGGACACACTCTGCCTGAACTGCCAAATGCCGTCACCAAGACCACAACCGCAAACTTCGAGCCCAGTCTGGACTATGTTGTCACCAAGATGCCTCGATGGGATCTCAGCAAGTTCCAGAACGTCAAGCGTGATATCGGCAGTTCTATGAAGTCGGTCGGTGAGGTTATGGCTATTGGACGCACATTCGAAGAGTCTTTCCAAAAGGCCTGCCGACAAGTCGACCCCAAGTACCTTGGTTTCCAGGGCGAAAAGTACGGCGAGAACCTCGATGAAGAGCTCAAGAACCCTACTGATCGCCGATGGCTTGCTGTTGGCCAAGCTCTGTTCCACGAAGGCTACTCCGTTGACAAGGTCCACGATCTCACCAAGATTGACAAGTGGTTCTTGCACAAGCTCCAAAACATTGTTGACTGCACCAAGGAACTTGAGAATATTGGCAGCCTATTTGGCCTCAAGAAGGAAATTATTCTCAAGGCCAAGAAGCTTGGTTTCTCTGATAAGCAGATTGCAAAGGCAGTCAACAGCACAGAAGACGAGGTTCGCGCCCGCAGAACCGGTTTTGGAATTAGGCCATGGGTCAAGCGTATTGATACCTTGGCTGCCGAGTTCCCTGCAAACACGAACTACCTTTACACTACGTACAACGCCTCATCACACGATGTCACCTTTGATGACCATGGTGTCATCGTTCTTGGTAGCGGTGTCTACCGCATTGGAAGCTCTGTCGAGTTCGATTGGTGTGCTGTCAACGCTACCCGCTCCCTCAACGCACTTGGCAAGAAGACTGTTATGATCAACTACAACCCAGAGACCTACAGTACGGATTTCGATGTCGCTGACAAGCTCTACTTCGAAGAGCTCAGCTATGAGCGTGTGATGGATATCTACGAGCTCGAAACCGCCAGTGGAGTTGTCGTCTCTGTCGGTGGTCAGCTTCCCCAGAATATTGCTCTGAAGCTGCAGGAGTCTGGTAAGGCCAAGGTTCTCGGAACCGATCCCGCAGACATCGACAAGGCCGAAGATCGTCACAAGTTCTCTTCTATTCTGGACTCAATTGGTGTAGACCAGCCAGCTTGGAAGGAACTCACTTCTTATGAGGACGCGAAGAAGTTTGCAAGCTCTGTTGGATATCCAGTTCTTGTCCGCCCATCGTACGTCCTTTCTGGTGCTGCCATGACTGTCATCCGTGGTGAGGATGAACTGAAGGAGAAGCTCCTCGCTGCCTCCAACGTGTCACCCGACCACCCGGTTGTCATTACCAAGTTCATTGACGGCGCTCAAGAAATTGACTGCGATGCTGTCGCTTCCAACGGAAACGTTCTTGTCCATGCTGTCAGCGAGCACGTCGAGAACGCCGGTGTTCATTCTGGTGATGCCACCCTTGTACTACCACCAGTCAACCTTGACAAGCGCATCCAAGAGCGTGTCAAGGAGATTGCCGACAAGGTTGCCAAAGCCTGGAACATCACTGGTCCTTTCAACATGCAAATTATCAAGGAGGAAGTCGAGGGCTCTGAGCCGAACCTCAAGGTCATCGAGTGCAACCTCCGTGCTTCTCGTTCCTTCCCCTTTGTCAGCAAGGTCCTTGGTACCAACTTCATTGATGTTGCCACAAAGGCTCTTGTCGGCCGTGACATCCCTGAGCCTACTGATCTCATGGCCGTGGAGAGGAACTACCTCGCCACCAAGGTCCCTCAATTCTCCTGGACCAGATTGGCTGGTGCTGATCCCTACCTCGGCGTAGAGATGTCGTCTACTGGTGAGATGGCCTGCTTTGGTAAGGACCTTGTCGAGGCCTACTGGGCATCTGCGCAATCGCAGATGAACTTCCGCCTGCCCCAGCCTGGTGAGGGTCTTTTGTTCGGTGGTGATGTCACTCCTGGTTCGCTCCACTCCAACTCTCTGATCCAGATTGCCAAGTACGTGCACGCACTTGGTTACAAGTTCCTTGCTGCCAACAAGGAAGTGAAGGAGCTTCTGGAGAAGAGCACAGAGGGCGTCACTGTCGACGTCATCGAGTTTCCCAAGGATGACAAGAGGAAGCTACGTGAGGTGTTTGAGAAGAACAACATCCGCGGTTGCTTCAACCTGGCCAAGTACAGGGCGAATGGCCTGTTCGACGAAGACTACGTCATGAGGAGGAACGCCGTCGACTTTGGTGTGCCACTGTTTATGGAGCCCAAGGTGAGTCTTTTTGCTTTGTACTGATGAATCTATAAGCTAATTTACTGCAGACTGCTGTCCTATTTGCTCAATGTATGAGCGAGAAGCTACCCAAGAAGGAGGGTATCCCAAGCGAGGTCAGGTCGTGGAGTGACTTCGTTGGTGGCAGGCCACTCTAAACGGATAGCTCAATGCTCGAGTTCGATACGGGGTAAGAAGTGGTGGGGTGTAAGATCTAGCCGAAGCTCGCCCTAACTGGGGTGAATATCTCATGGAAAGGGGTGGGATAAAAATTATGTTCTAGTGTATACAGCGTTGTCATCATACGGTCAACTGCATTTGCAGTTTGGAGGAGTTGGGATATCATCTTTACCTCTGGCCCGGTGGAAGTTCTCCATCGCATGTGTGGCTAGATAACATGAAGACTTATGTAGTTCAATCTGAGCTTGTCATGTTTCAGTGATACGTAGCGTTTTCAGATGTTTAAAATGGATTTTTGTCTATCGCTTTTAGAATTCTAAATTTAGTAGGTCGATTCCAGGATAGAGATAAGAAAATGTTTTTGAAAAAAAAGAAAGCAGTGTGAATATGGGTGCACTAGTTGTGATAACGCGCACAGGTCGAGCAAGATTGGTATGCCAGTCTTGAGCACCACCAGGCTGATGAGGACTGCTAGGTTCCATCTTGAGAGGGACCTTGCCTTGAGGGACAAGTTTAGCAAGGTTTCGATATATTAGTGTGACAAACTTTGGTATATATAGCGCGGGGGTGGGGACCTTTGATACCTGTACGCGCAATCTGTAATGCTCTATACCGTCTGGCGTGGACCCCGCAGGCCATGCCAAGTATGACATTGAGGACGGAAAGCTATCTCATTCATGGCTCAATTGGCTGGCGTAACATTTCCCAGCCGTGTTAAGGCACGAATCATGGACGATGATCCTGCAGCGTGGTGGTGCAGGCATACGTCACTAGTAGTGGGGCTAGGGGAACCAGGGAGTTTGGGGAGGGGTAACCAGGCGCGTGGGAGCTACAGCCACAGCTGCCATTTAGATACCTTGATTTCCTGCTTTTATGAACTCAGCCCTCTTTTCTCCTTTTCCACAACTCAATTGAACCTCAATCAGCATCAACTTTTGATTCCTTTGCACAGTAAGTTGCTTCTCCTCCTTTATGCATATGTCACGGTTCCTTGCTATGGCCTTGAGACCTACCCCACATGCAATTGAGCTGCCCCTGTAGATCCAAACGAACTCAACATAGGCTGCAAGCATCCCAAATGGACTGGCAAGCTTATTTTATTCCTTTATACGGCGTTTTTAGACCCTGCCTTATCCGCCCAATCCCTCTCCCTACACCATACTGATGCTGAACCAGATCTCTACAATCTGACAATGTCTTACAACAACGATCGCAGCGAGTACGGTCAGCAGTCTGGCCGGTCCCAGGAGGGATACTCCGGGGGCGGCGGAAGCGGCTATGGGAACGACGACAGATCAGGTGGCTACGGCGGCAGCTCGGGACGCGACGATGATAATGACCGCACTTCTAGCGGCTATGGAGGCGGCTCAGGACGTCGTAACTCCAATGACCTCACCTCAGGTGGTTATGGAGGACGTGATAATGACAACGACCGCCCGTCAGGTGGTTATGGCAGTAGCTCAGGAGGCAACTACGGAGGTAGCTCAGGCCGCAATGATGACAATGACCGCCCGTCAGGTGGTTATGGCAGTA